CAATCTTCCCCCTTAACCTTGACCCTAACCGTTGACTTTGACCTCTTCGTTGACCTACCCCTGACCGTTGACCTTCCCGTTGATAGCTAACTTTCACCAAAAAGTCAAAATTTTCTAAAAGTCACATTTTCTGTTTTTTGACGTCCGAATCCGAAGTTTGTACCACCAAATTCAATCCCGATAAATTTTTTTGTCATTTTATCTCTATATTCATTACGAATTTTCACATTTAAGTTCTATTTCTAATGTAATTGGTTTTGCCATGTATCCGAGACATTATGGGATGTGGAATTAAAGTTTGAGGGCGATCAAATGGAGTTTAATTGGTTAATTGTTATGGCTCAAAAATCAAGGTAATATATTACTACCTTATGTATGCTTTATGGAACATGCTGCCATTAGTTAATGCATAGATGAATATGTTTGGTTACATGTGTGTAATTAATATATTTCTAAACTCGATCCAAATGCGATGTAAAGTAATTAAACTGAATAAGACTCAGATTACACGTATAGGACACTAAATGACTGATAAGAAATAATTTTAGGTTTAGTGATTAATCGATAAAGCAATCAACCTTAGAATCTTTAAATTCTAATTATTTTCATTAAAAGTTTTAATATCAGAATCACTTGGTTAAGAAATTACGATATTAACCCTATGAGATAAAAATGGTCCAGACTAACCCTAATAGTGAAAATACCCTAAAAATTCGTATTTAATTCGACAAACTACTGATTCACCTATTAAATTCCTGATCTGTTCGAAAAATTGTTGATAATCAGATCCTAACATCCAAGAATGTATAAGACCTAGAATTATTGATTTATCAGCAAACAACTAAAGACTAAAACATCAGGAGTATTTTTTATGTTTGAATTGTTCAGAAAATTGAATTAAATGGAAAGACTAGATTGAAGGAAATGACAAAAATACCCCTGAAGTGTAAAAAGTCCTAAAGTACCTCCAACCCCTAGAATGACTAAATACCCTCAAACTTTGAAATGAATAAATCAACCTCGAATACCAAAATGACCTAGAATTTCTATTTCCTAAGCGAACACCAGGAGGCTAAATTAACGAAAGTACTTTACACATCTAAATTACTCGAAATGACCATATTATATGCCGAAGTTAAACTGGAAGGAAGTATTGTACATATCTGAATCGTTGAAACGACTGAATTACTCTTGAAACTACGAAATGACAGTGATAAACTTGAATACTAAATGACCTAAGTACTCTCTATGACCTAGAATTAAGTGGATGACTGGGATAAGTTTAGAAACACTGATGAACTTATATGTTGTACCGTCCATAAGGCTTAGGAACCCTGAATTAAGCACATGACATTTCTTGATACCATTGTAATGCAGAAATGAAATAAATACCATTGGACTATCTATTCGTCTCCCTAAGATCCATTCAACTATGATTCTGAAGGTGATCGGTTCAACTAGAGCAATCGATATTAAGAAGTGAATAATGGTGAAGTACCTCGATCTGAATGATTAACAAGTATCGCAATGTTGGGATTGGATAGTTTAATTGGACTCAAAATCACGATAATTCGATATAAATCCTAAATAATATAAATTGTTATTTCACTCTCATTGGGTTAAATTACTAAGAATTCTTCAAGAAACCAAAATGTCTAAAATGGCTCTGATTGCCTGAATAATGGAATCACTCCTGTCATATATGAAATCTTAAGTAACTCTGATAAAAAAGATTTTGAATACCTCCATATTACTTAGTGCCTCTAAAAAATATCTGAATATTGTATGATCTTGATAAATCACTTCTCGAATGACTGATGAATCTAGTAGCTATAAAACCCCCTTGTTATAGGGATCTTGTTTCTGAAACCCTATCAATTTGTAAAAGTTTCATGGTTCCCTACCTGATAAATACCAAGTAACTCTAGACAATCACTGAATCCTCTAGTATGTTCCGTATGTACTATATGATTGTTTTATCTGTTCTGAAATGTGATTTACCGAAGTTATTGGTTTACTATTTATGAACTATGGCTACATGATATGTGCTCTCTGGTTACCTGTTTTCACTGGAAAATATAATCGTTCCTGATTTATGAATCATGGAATCTACTATTTATTGTATGAACCGATTATTGGAATACTGTTTGGGTAGGATTCTGGAGTATGGAGGTTCAACTGTGATCAAGCTGGTAATTCCTTACGAACCTAAGGTATTCCTTGGGTAGGCTCTAAGGCCCCAAGGCACTCCCTTAGTATGGGGGATTGTATTTTGGCGTATGGATGGAGGGTATTTATGTGATTTAAATAACTACATTATCTTTTTTACAATATTTTACTGATCATGAATTTGATATTAAAGTTACTACTCAATCTGATTTCTACTAGATACTATATGGGTAAGAGTATGGAGTACAGAGGTTTAACTCTGATCAAGCTGGTAATTCCTTACGGACCTAAGGAGACCCTTGGGTAGGCCCATAGGCCCCAAGTTACCCCTTAGGGTGGCACCTTTCCTGTGTGCTTAGGGTAAGTTGTTGAGTTAATCGATTGACGGAATCGGCCAAGAGGGGGGTGAATTGGCAATTAAACTTTTGTGGAAGCTTTTGTAGAAAGTTGAAAGTAATTGCACAGTGATTTAGAGTGGTTCAACTTTATCAACCAAAGTCTACGTCCACTACCTTAGCTATCCACACTAAGGATTTTCCAACAAATTCACTAATTTGTTCTTTCTTTTGAGACCAAAGAGATAACCTTACAACTCCCTCAAGAATATACCCTAATTCTTGAGAACACTCTTTTCTCAAAGAGAATATTACAAATTTGCAAATTCAAAAGAAAAACCTAACAAGGAAAATATGTTTGCACAATTCTAGAACAAAGGAAGAACACTCAAGAATAAATACAATTGAGCACAATAAGTGTTCTTGAAAGCAAAATGAATATTGAATGAAAAATAGGCTTGAAATGCTCGAACTTGAGGTTTGATGCTTTCTCTTTGATTCTAGTTGTTTGATGTTTCTTGTTCTTGATCATTGGCTTCTAAGCTTGCTTAAATATAACTTGAATCACTTCTGAACGTTGGGGATGATTAGTGGAGTCAATAGAGCCGTTTAAGTGTTAAAACAATTAATTAAAACAATTGGGAGCGTCAATGCATCGATGCATACCCATGGTGCATCGGTGCATCAGTGTAAAATTCAAATATTTTGACCGTTGGACCCTTAGTGCATCGGTGCACTAAGAGTGCATCTATGCATCAAGTGCATTCGATGATTTAAAATAGCCAGAGTGCATCGATGAATGGTTGGTGCATCGATGCATGAAATGCATTTGATGTTTTCATAAAATCCTCAGTGCATCGGTGCATGGTATGTGCATCGATGCATGAAATGCATTCGATGTTCAATTTAATTCATGGTGCATCAATGCATGGATTGGTGCATCGGTGCATCACTCTGAAAAATTGATTTCAGGCTTGATTTTGGTTCAAAATACTTTGTGAAAATTGTTTCAAAAATATATTAAGTATAAAACACAATTTTACACATTTAGTAAGGTTTGAATTTGATCTTAAAAGACTTGGAGTAATAATTTGATATTCAAGTAATTAAATCGAATATCTTTTAGAAAATCATTTGTAAAATCTTAAAATTCATTTAACTTAATTTGTTATATCGAAACATCAAAATGTTTTCAACATAAGTCCTTATGAATGCAGTTCTAGGGAAACTGAATAGCGGTGTTCGGTTGGAGGGTATTACTGTGTTTTTTAAAATATGTTTTAAATTACTAATGTTTTTAAAGGATCTGTATAGATTTCTCTATTTTTTGGAACACACTAGACTCCCCAATTTAATCTTCTAAATATGTCTCTCTAAATACTTCCTTCGGACCATGAATCCTTGTTTGTAACTGAAGACTTAACTAATGAAATCTGAAATCATCGATAGAATCTGTTGATGTATGTCCCACTAAGGAAATCAATGCTTTACCATATACCTGATGACCTATCGCATTCATTTGGTAGTTCTGTATTACTGAGCTTTCCAAAGCTCACTCTATTACTTACCATTTCAGGTTAAAGAGTTTGATTATGTGCTTATACCGACATCAGCAAAGGAGTTCCACCGACTTTGCTTGTGGAGTACGGTGCATGTAATTATGGGGCAGTAGGTTGTGTTCTGTTTTTATATTCGAGTATGAAACTTGTATTACTACTGGATATTAGTGGATTTTATTCTAATATATAAATAATTTTCTGAATTTGTATTTTATCTATAAATTATTTTACAGTTTTAAATGAATTAACAAAAAATTTAAAATTTTCCTGGATTTTTACTGTGGGTCGCTCCGGTGGCCCTAATGTGACACCTCAGATCGGATCTGGTCACCCACATCGTTATGAGGGTGTTACATTTTTATAGAATAAAATATAATTATAAAAAGTTATTAGAAAGAATCAATTCTAAAATTAAGAGTTAACTTCATCACATGTCCTCAAAGTTATAACCTCATTTTAAATTAGTCCTCAATATTTTGAATATTTCAATTTCATCCCCAAATTATGACCACCATTATAAATTGGTCCCCAAACTTTTTGAAGATTCTAATTTCATCCCAAGTTATATGTATATACTAATTGCAACCCTTGTAAATAAAATCGTTATGCCAAGTTATATTATGATTTGTTTAAAAAAAATAGGTTAAATTATGGTTAAAACTAGTTAGTAGATAATTGGATAAATTTGGGGATTAAATTGGAATATTCAAAAGTCCGGGATAAATTTAGAAAGAAGATCATGGTTTAAGGATGAAATTAGAATATTCAAAAGTTTAAGGACTAATTTAGAGTGAGAGTCATTTTGGGGATGAAATTGATATTCAAAAGTTTAAGGAATAACTTAAAATGAAGGTTATAATTTGGGGACGTATGATGCAAATAACTCTAATGAATTAAATGAACCGATTTCAGGACCGGCATCCAGGGGACCATCAAAATGGCGGTGGGTGAAGAACCAACTGAGTACAACCGGTGAACATGCATTCTGGGAAAACAAATCAGCCTGCATTGAACTTACAGTCTTCACTTTCTGCAATTTGTAGCGATTGTTGTTTAGACTAGCTTTTTGTACGGCCCTTTATTTTGTTGCATCCTTTTTGTCAAATTGATTCCTCTCCTTCACTTTTCGTTTTCCATTTCATCAATTAAAATCATTCGTACCCTCCTCTTCTGCTTTCTTCATTAAACTCGTCATATCATATACGGAGAGAGGTGGGACTGGGACAACACCTCTTGTTATTATTTGCTATCTTAGATCCCCATTCTTCTTCTTCTTTTTCTAAAAATTATTCAAATTTTTGAAGAAAAAAAAAACTAATGATTACGATCTTAAATTAGGGTTGCAGATCACGTTGTATTTGTTTGTTTTCATGCGGAGAGCATCAAAATGTCATACAGACGGAGAGGTGGGATTGGGAGCCTGGCAACTAGGGTTTTGTTTATTCTCTCTTTTTCTTATATTATGAGAAGAAAATAAATAAAGAAATTTATATATTTATTTTTATAAAAAAATTAAAATTTCGGATCAGCTAAAATTTCTAAATCCGTCATTGAATGTGCATAGATTGCAGTGATTCCCTTTCCTTCATCCCTTTCTGTTTTGTCTGATGATATTAAAGACACTTGAGCAACAAGTGTAGGCACATTATAATTCTCAATCAGGAAATCTAAATTCAGACCTCGTCAAAAGGATAGAAAAAAAAGTAGTAATATATTATATTAATATTTTTAGATTAGTCTTTTTTAAACTATTAAAACTAATATTGATGGAGGCATAGAAAATTGTCGGGCCAATTGACCCCGCGATAAATTATTTAACATGATAAATCCTAGCATCGTTCACTGCTCACTTTTTTTCTTCTCTTGCTTCTCTTTACTATTTTTTCAGATATTTGGTAATATAATAGATTTAACATGATTTCAGAGCTTTTGATGTTATATTTTATGATATGATTTGTTGAATCATTGGTTGTTTATGTATGGAGTCCAGAATCATGCTTCAGATGCTATTGGTATAGATGTTGTAGTGTTTTCTTTTTAAATAGGAATGGTAGGGAGAAGTACCAAAAAAATGATATATCTCAATTCACACTGATCAGAGCAAGATAAAGTTTAAAGTTTTGATTTGTTTTTTGTTAATCTCGAAAAACATCAAACTATAAAGAAGAAAGATGAAAGAAAGGATAATGTTTTAGTACCAACTCATTACAAGCGATGGTCAAATAATGATGGAGAAAGATTTCAGTTATGGGAAGAAGAATGTTAATATTTGGGGGGGGGGGGGAAATTAAAAATCCCCAAAGGCATGATTTCGATATTGACACTAGGGACCAAAACGAGAAAAAATTGGAAGTTTAGAGATGGAATCGAAATTGTTTAAAGTAAAGTTATCAAAATTGAAGAAGATGTTAAGTGCAAAAACTTAATTTACCAATTAAAAAAAAGGTAAATTATGTGTTTAATACCTAACTATCAGTTTTGGTTTGTTCTAGTACTTAAGTTTTCAATTTTTCAAAATCATACTTAAAGTTTAGTTTTTTGTTTTATTTTAGTACCCACCGTTAAAAACTTTAATTTTTGTTTCATTTTAGTATCCTTATTCAAAATTTAACATTAAAGTTTCAAAAAAAATTGAACTTTTAGCTATTAAAACGAAAAAATTGAACGTTTAGCTATTAAATCGGACTAAAATTAATAGTTTAGGTACTAAATGTGTAATTTACCATTAGAAAAACTGTTCTTTTTTATTAAGTTAAGTTTACCCTTATAAAAAAACTGTTGACATTAAGAATACGTTATATGTTTAACTTTCCACAATTAATTTGTATTATAAAAAATATTTCCAAAAGTTATGAAAATTGAGATTGAATTTAAAAGATATATTCCTTTGCCGAAGTTAATCAAAGGTAAAAGAACAAGTCCCACAGCTAGAGTCCAAGCTGCCTAATACGACAACTGTAACAAAGGCAGTGTAAAAAGACCCAGTCATCAACCTTTGGCATTAAAACTCCATCAATTTCAAGCTTCCCAACATTTTCCTTAACCAAGAAAATCTCATCCTGCAACTTCGTTTTTGGTTTAACCTTTGATATTTTCGTTCTGCAAATCATATAATCACAGAATCAAACCCTTGCTTCCTTTCTTTAAACACCTTTAACTTTTCTTAACTAGTTCAAAAGCTATCATGAGGACAACACCTTTACCTGATTTATCCCTGCAGATTAGCCCACCTTCCGTTTCGGATTGTAAGGATCAAGGATTGGCCTACGGTGGGCTATCAACAAAATCCATCAGTAGTGATAGAAGCTCGACCACTGATTCTTCTACTTGCAGTGGAATCAACCTCATCCATGAGAATCCAGGTCCAACTTTGAGCTTAGGGTCCGAGACAGCAGCTTTGGGTCTTAATCAGCAGCAGCATCAATATCAACCTCAATTCAATGGTCGTGATTTCAAGAGAAATGCAAGGGTGATCAATGGAGTATTGAGAAGAAGAATCAGAGCTCCAAGAATGAGATGGACCACCGCCCTCCATGCTCACTTTATTCATGCAGTCCAGCTTCTCGGAGGCCATCAAAGTAATAATACTGAACAACCTAAGATATATTTATCTTTCTCGGGACTAAAAACTATAGAGCTTTTACATACCTTTGTATTGGCAATTATGGTCACAGGAGCAACACCGAAGTCTGTCTTAGAGTTAATGAATGTCAAGGATCTAAGCCTAGCTCACGTTAAGAGTCACTTGCAGGTGCATTTCTTTCAACTTAAGTACTGTAACTAATTGTTATTATTTTATGATATTTCTTTCATAGTTGTTTCTTACGCTTACCGTGTTTCTAGTTTTGTATTTTTTTAATAAATCAACAGTAGTGAGATTTGGACTTGATTTTTCTCATTATTGCTCCGTGCTCATGCAGATGTATAGAACAGTGAAGAGCACTGACAAGGGACCAGGTAATTATAATTAGTTTACAATAATCTTTATCATTTATTGTAAATGTAACGAAATGGGTGTTACCAGAGATTTAAATAGCGTTCACGGTCATATTTTCGGTCGCGTCGCGTTTATCGCGGTTGCGGATATAACGGATGCAATCGTGGTCACTGCGGGTTTCGCGGTCGTGAATTTTTTTAAAATTCGCACAATTGATCCTAAAATATAATAATTATATTTGATGACCCATTTTTCCATCATACATTTTAAGGTAACAACATATGCTTCTAACTTATAAACGGTAACAAGTTTACCACATTTTTTAATTGAATCCTTAATCTAATTTAAAATCCAAGATCCATACATCAAAAAACAACATCAAATCCAAATTATAAATGATCCATTACTTTAACAACCCAAAAATTTAAATACCCAAATTGAACCCCAAGCCCAAATCATTTCCTTGACCTAGACTAAGCCTTTGTCTTCTTCTCCACGACAACACTCCAACAATCCTCATCAGCAAACACATGCAGAGAGCACCAAAACAAAAGAAAAATTAGAAAGTCCCAAAAGCAGCATGTAATTCTCAAACAAAAGCAAGATATCTAGAAATCATAATCCATAAATAATGCAAATTAGAGCTTCAAAAAATGGAGGAACGTGATAGTACATACCATCTTCAGCAAGTGAAGAAGAAGATGAATGAGCATAAAAACGAAGACCCATTTGCTTATCGACCAGCTCTCAGCCATTGGTAAGAGGCTTACTCACTTTCTCTGGCGTTGCATGCTTTTTTCTCTCTTTAATATTTGTTCTATTTTGATGATGAGAGCAAGCTATGGCAGTGGGTTTCTTTTATACGAAAACTTATGGATAACGGGAATAGCGTCCCGTTATTGACGTTATTTGTCGTTAGACGCTAAATTACGGCCGTGAAAGACTGTTATTGTTGTGATTCCGCCACCCACCGCAATTTTTCCGATTAGCGGTTTCGGACGGCGACGCTACCGGCCGCTATTTCGGTTGCGCTCCGCTTTTTGATTCCCTGGGTGTTACATAATCTCTTTGAACAGACACGGGACTGATCCAACGGACAGAGAGTGTTGATTTGCATGAAAGACTATCATCAGAAACGACACTGCAGAGGACCCAAAGGTGGTTCCTTTCTTAATTTGTTTTGATCAAAGAAATTACATCGTTTGCTCTTCTCTAACATAAAATAATGCGTTTGTTCCTGAACTTGACTGCAGCAATTCATGGCTATCCTGGATGGAGTCGAATAAATTGAGCAAATCAAGCAATGGAAATGGCTTGACATTTAAGTTAATTGATGCCAAGGTATGATTGCAATTTTGAAAGTTGAATTCACAATCACTGTGTATTAGACAACAATCGAATGATTCATTTTATTTATTTATTTATTTTTTGAAAGAGAATGATTCATTTTAGTTTTTGCCATAGGTGGACGTAGCAGGCAAGGCAGAGCTTGAAGTGTCGGATAGACCGAAGGGAAGATTAGATTCAGACATCTTAGTTAACCTAGAATTCACCCTCGGAAGGCCAAACTGGCACTTAGACTATGCTGAATCTTCAAATGACTTAAATCTTCTCAAGTGTTGGACCCCATAAAACCACCCATTGCGATGTCGTTTTCCTGTTGGGAAAATATATAACGTGCTTCAAATTACTTGTTCCATGTTCTTTATAAATGAAACAAAATGTTGATTTTTTTAATATGATGTAGATTGCAACGTGGGAAACAATAAGCATAGAGTGTAAAATCCAGGAAATCATGTTGATATTTTTTGAGTCTTGGATAGTTGGATTTGAATGGTAATGTAGCATAGAGGGAGGTGAGGGGGAGCGGCCATAAAAGTTTGGACGTACGATTTAATAAGATATACGGGTCCAATTCATACAAATTTTACACGTTCTTCTAAAAAATAATGATATGTCTAGTGATGGCCGATCCAGAAATTTAAGAATTAGATCAAAAAATTTTAATTTTATTTTCTTAAAAATAATGGGTATATAATTTTTTTTATTTTTTTATTTTTTCCTTAACATATTAAATTAAATTTATTCAGTTTCCTAAAATAATGGGATGCACTTGGTCCCTACAGGGATTAGTGAGTCCGCCCTTGCTGTCTAAGTACTCCAAAAAAGCGTGACAATTCTGTTAGGACCCCATTGGAATTGCCATGATTGTTCTTCTTCAACTAGTCCAGATTTTTATACGTGCATATAAGAAGCTTTAAGCGACCATCATGTGTGGCTGCTTCTTTCAATGGACTATTTGGCTTTCGTATAATTTAAGGACAGAAATAAAATTAAATATTATGAAGGTTCAAGCTACCTTACCTCAATCAATAATCAACTGGTCTAGTGAGATATATACTAGATCCCTTAAGCTATATCAGATGTCTGAATTTTCACGTTGTGAATGGAATAAATTAAGTTAGGAGGGCAGCCCTTATAATGGACTTTACAGTATGTTGTCTGGATTAACTAATCAATTGATCGAATGTTAGTATAATTTATAAAATAAAATTACATGAACTCAGAAGATCATGAACTTTAAGATTAAGGGAGAGATAAGGCTTTAGTTGAATAAAATTTAAACTATTACGACTAAAAATATTACTAAACCTTTTTTTGGGGAAGAGACCACGATCTCTCCTTTTTTTTGGTTCAGCAAAGAGTTTTATTAGAAAACAACCTAGATTGTAAGCTTCGTTAAAAATCTCCCTAGACCTAAGTGGAGAAAAAGAGTGGTCACGTCTAGAAAAAAACAACACGCCTCAAGCCATACTAGAAACTCAACAACAAACATAAACAAGAAAACATCTAACACAATCGTCACTCTAAGGAGCAACAAAACAAACTGACATCCCACCCTTAGCAAGCTAGCAGTATGGAGCATCAAAACCTCAAAACAAACACAGACAATAAGAAAGAACCTCCCCCTAACATTGCCCCATAAACTCAAACCAAAGGAAATCCTACACCTTCCCTTAAATGGCAAAACAAACAAACTAAATTGCATGAAGAGAAAACAACCAATCACAATCTCTAAGAAGAACTGCAGATATCATAAACACATTTAACCATACTATTGAAGCTATCATAAACATGTGTCAACACCATTTTTTACCAGATAATATATATATAAGTTTGACATTTTTGAAATGATGATGGGAGTCGCAATCGACCTTTGGGGTCAGGTAGGTCGAATACCTAAAAAAGTATTTAGAAAACCAATTTTAAGAAAAATTATTTTTAAAGACAGAAAATTGGTCTGCGTTAACCAAAGATTTATTTTTAAGGGCTCAGGAGTCTGTTACTTGTGGGGAAGGATTAGTACCCCACAACGCCCAAAATTGATACTTGATCGTTTATTCGTTGTCCTAACAGTGGAATTTATGAATTTGAATCGAAATTTAAAATATGACCCTTTTATTGAAAATTGATCAATTCATTTCGAATTATTTAGTTATCTCATATTAAACATGAATAGAATATAAACTAAAATATTAAAATAACATAAAAGTAAATACTATCATAATTAAAATAAAATAATTGTTATTTCATTTTTTTTATCAAACACATACTTGATTATTTTCAAGTTTGCTTTCATTCGAATGTCGTATTGAATTGTACTACCTCGATAGGTTGCACTTTTCACGCCCATTCTACAAAATTCATTCTTGAAAATGGATACGAGTGTATCAATGATCATTACTATTTAATCTAAAGGCATTTGACCATTCTAATAAAATATTTACAACACGTGTATCAAAACATATAAATTAAATTAATGCACTAAACATAATTAAACAAGAACTATAGGGACATATTAGTACATAATCAATGACCATAAGAGATATTCAAGAAACCTAGAGGGACATAAAGCATGAATATTACATTTCACATATGAACATGGTAGAGGAATAAAATGTAATGCTTCTAAAACTTTAAGTCTTAGATCAAATATTCTACCAAAGCATAATAAAGAATGCGTAATGACTAAAATGTAAATGCGACAAATTTTATGGCCCAAAGCATTAAAAGTGAAAATTTCAATTTAATGACTGAAATGAAATGCTACAAAGCTGCAGACCCTCCTCAAAAGGATTTCCCAAGTGCTAAAACGAGCTCCTAAACCCCCCAAACGACGTCATGTAGCATGGGGTATATAACCATAAAGCTAGGGCCAAAATGGTCTAAATTCTCATTTGCTCTCTCTTCCATATTTTACCCAAAAGAGAAAAAAATATTTTTCTCTCAAAAGTTTCTTCTCTCCTCTTCACCGAGGGAGGCCAAAAGACTTCGGACACCACATGCCAGCACCGTCGGTGGCAGTACATGACGATCAACACTCAAATCGAAACCCGAAAAGGACTTCCTCCCCTTCCTAGACCAAAATCCAAACCCTTCCAGCCTAAAAAACACACGAAAACATCATAGATCTACCTTGAAAACACCACCTTCCGATGATATTTGGACTTCCCAATGACATACGAGGTAAGCTTCTCATTTTTCATTCATTTATTATTTCTTTTCATTTTCAAGTTTTCTCTCTTTTCTCTTTTTTTTTGAAAGTGTTCTTTTTTTGTATTTTTGATGATGGATCCATTTTCGTTCGAATTTGGCTCTCTTTTATAGTGAAAATTCCCTTTTTCTTTAATCTGTTGTGTTTCATGTAAATTGAAAAAGGGGTCTCATTCTCTTCTTTATTTTTTTCTTTTTCTGGTGTTTAATGCTCTGGCTGAGGAGGGTGGTTTGACATGGTCAACACTGACGAAGACGACCGTGGAGTGGGTGAAGGATGGGTAACATTTTACCCCGAGGCTTAATTTGGCATTTTCTGTGGCAATCGACAGATATCTCGAAGGCGATGACAGACCTCAGGAAGGAGAAGAGTCACAGGAGAGGCTTTATCATGAACTGTTGGATCAGATCAGATCCAATGGTTGTGGATGAGCAAACTGGAAGTTGATTATTAGGGTTTAAGAAAACCTAATCTAGGATTAATCTAGACCATTGGATTAATTTTGATCCAACGACTTAGATACGGCGGTAGAACCTCTCTCCCAAAACCTTAGTATGCTTTAATCTAATCCATCAGATTACTTCTAGATCTTACGGTGGGGGATGTACGACACCAAGTGAAAGATATGAAACCCTAGCTCCATTCCTCTTCACATATGGGCCACTACTAGGCCTATATTTTTCTCTTTTTCCCTGGGTTTTATAATAGTTTAGGGTTTAATTTATTTATTAAACAATAAACATCAATAATTATAATAATAATAAACCAAAAAATGATGATTACAATTATCCCCCTTTGCTCATTACGGTGGAACTAGAAAAGAGCAAAGATATAAAGCACCATATTTCAGTATCATTATTTGCTGAGCTATGAGTTCTTATCATTACGAGCTCTTTACTGATCTACCTCTTTTTGCAATGGATGACTCAAGGTTGAACAAGTTCTTCTCATTACGAACTTCTTCTTCACTAGACGATTTCTTCTCATAAGAACCCTTCATTTGGCAATGTTGATCCACTTTCTTCTGATGGATAAGTCCAAGTTGAACAAGCTCTTCTCATTATGAACTTTTTCTTTTTCACCGGACGAGTTCTTCTCATTACGAACTTCTTCGCTGATCCACCTTCTTCTGTGATATATGAGCTAGGGTTAAACGAGTTCTTCTTGTAGACACTATATTTTATCCAGGTCTAGATTTTAATTTATTTTATTGCATATTTGCACATGTGGAGTATAAATATTAGTATATATATATATTAGTTATAATTAAACTAAGTATAAATTTATTTTATTTTTTAGGGTCCATTACAAATACCCATTACAAATACAATCAAGCCCAAATTAAATAACCCAACAGGCCCACGTGTGAAGACCCAAGTGGTTTAGGGTTTTCATCTTTTCCCCTCAACCGCCATTCACCTTGACCTTTAGATTTGGACCTCACCCAACGGTCCAGATCAAGGCAAGTTAGGGTTTTCTTCTTGAGATCCACTAACTACCGCCACCAACTAGTGATCCCTTTAACTTCCACGCGTGTATGTCGCCTGATGTAACTGCCCGACGAGATCAAGGTTCATTCATGCACACCCGATTTCCCGAATCGGGCATGATTTCCGTCGAAAAGAGCCTTTCCTCTCTCATCCATGCAACAAAAAGAAAAAAAATATATATTACTTCTTTATCTTATTTTATGTAAACAAAAGGGTTATAAAAACCTCTCATCAAACAGTGTATAGCCCATTAAGAAAAACCATTCAAAAAAAGCAATACAAAACACAAAAAAAAAATCAGATTCAGAAGTAACCATCCTTTTTTTTGAAGGTATTTTTTATCTTTTGCATGTAAATCTCTTCATTATTTTCATAAATAAAATATATAAATAAAAACAATAAAGAAGAGAATGAGCTTTTACCTTAGTTGGTGTCGTCAAGTGGGACAAAGGCTGTCTTTAGGTGTTTTTTAGGATGCCGACATCTCAAAGGTGGGATTTTTAGGTCGTATAGGAGGTCCTTGCTTGAATTTAGGGTTGCTTGGGTTGAAGGTAAGAAGAAAGTTGAAACTTTTTTTGTTTTGAGTA